CGTTGTCTACGAGTCTTGATTTCATTATGTTTAAGCCTCTCTTTGTGTCTCCAGATATCTTTAATTTGATGTATTTTTGGTATATTAACTCGTTTTATGATGTTTATGGCTTGCGATGTTGAAAGGTCTGAGCTGAGAATCAGAAACGGTTCAATGACGATTTTTACAAAAGCCGAAAACGGTTCTAGTAAAGAAAAACACAGTAGTGGAGACCTCCCAAGGCTCCCAAACTTCTTTGTCTATTTGAAAAAAATAAAAATAAATAAACATCTCAATTATCATGCAAAATTCTCACAAGTAGTCCAAAACATTCTTGGGTGGGTCGATCCAGAGGCTATTAGTAGGACAATATTGTAGCCAATTTTGCCATACTTTAGGCGGTATGTACTTGCTTTCATCAAACGAGTAGGATACACAATACTTGCGATTGTAGCCAAACCTTGAGAAATAGACATTGTTTCTCATCCATGGGAGATCTCTTCTCACCTCAGAGTTATAAAAACTAACAAAGATTGTCAAGCCGTCAAGCTCAGGTTTACTCATTTCTTCCCATTCGAAAAAGCCTAGTTTATAGACCATTGGCTTCTCATGTCCGCTTGTAAACACGACAAAGATCTCTCCTTCCTTCTCTGCCAAGAAAACCGCTTTCTCCACAAACTCACATTGCTGCTTATAATGCAAATAAGGGCATGGTAGTGTATACGCATAATGGAAATTCCATGTGCGCAAAGACTGGTGAAAGTAATACAAGCTTCCTGCGATATAGCAATAGAAGCGGTCATTGACATAGACAAGCTTACTATGCATGTAACGTTGATCGTAATCACTAGGCAAGTCCTCGAAATCATAAGGAAACTCCTCGGTAATCCACTCAGTTGCACCAGGACGACAAGTACTGAGAGTGACATTATGTGTCATAACACGATTTAACGCGAACAAGACACAAGTATCCAATGTAGGTGGACAAGAGAATGCAATCTCCCAAAAAGGAAGCTCACATTTAGGCAAGCTTATGAGCTCTCGAGAAAACGGATTGAAGAAGAAAACGTCGTTTGAGACCTTTTTACGCACACAGTTGATTTAGCTAGCTCTGGAAGTTTCAAAGTGTACATATTCCATTCTAACGGATCGCAGAGTTTGAACAAGCTGCCATGTTTAGGAAAACACAAAAGCCATGGATGTTTTTCGACTACTCGAACCGATACTGCGGCTTCAAGCCATGACGTGCAAGCAACGGATGCACGGATGTTATCTTTTAACACAAGATGAGACATTATTACTTCCAAAAGGCATGATGTAAGGTCAGCGAAACTCGGATTTAATGGCTCTTTGATCAGAATTTTGGATCTACAAAACAATCAACACTTGAAAATTAGCCAAAGTTGGGACTTTCATTCTTTCAATATCGTCTCAAAGTGGAAGCTATAGTATTTCAAAGTACCATTGGTCAAGAACTTCAACGGACACAATAAAAGTACAAAATTAAATCCATCTAGGTTATACAAAACAGCAAGAAATAAAACTAAGATTTTTTTGGTATTGTATAAGATGATAAAATAGTTAGAGACGAGACAAGATAGTGGTATTTTGGTATTGTGAAGACATTTTTCCAACTCCAAGATTTTCTCCATTATACAAAAATTTGGTAATTTTGTAGAAGTG